TTTTATTTACTTTCTGTTGCTTTTGAGGGGGACCCATAAGCAAATGGCATGAAACTTAAACCTTCTTGTAACTTCATTGCATCCTCATCACCCCATAAAGTCACATGTCACCAGACCATATTACTTGCAACTCCCCACTTCTGTGCAGAAACAGCAGCAGCACAGCCCCCCAGCTGGTACCTCTATGGTACTCACTGGTACCAAGCCAAGAGGACAGGGCACTAGCCCACTGCCAGCCAGGTTCAGCCTCTGAAATAAAAGGTGCAAGAAACACGCCAGCTCCTCTGCTTCAGTCAAAGAGAAAACTCAGCCGGAACAGGCAGGACCAGCTGAGCAGCTTCATCAGGAGGCTCAAGTGGCTTTGACATGGGTCTGGCCCCATTTCACTCTGCAGAGGCTGGTACACCCACACTTTGACAAATGACTGTGCAGCATGTGGACGGGTCCTGCACTTTGGCCAGGGAGAGCTGTGTTATGTCCTGGGCAGTATGGGCACTCTGGTATGTGAGCTCTCCTTTCTCCCCTTTGCACAAAACAATGCAGAGTACCACAAGGGGATTCAGCATACCTCCACCTGCAGAGGAGAGGGGAAAGGGTCTTTCTTGGCTGTGCTAGTAAGCCCCATTATTTGTTTTCCTCATCATCATCTGAACTTACTCAATGTCTCAGGTTGTCCACGTATTGCCAGTTATGTATCACTTTCTCCCCCTTCAATTTACCGTCTCTCTTCTGCCATCCTTCAATCACCTACTACAAAAGTCTTACTGACTGTCTGAACACCCTATGATAACATAGCCAATCAGAAAGAGCTGCCTTATGGTGTCACAGAAGTTAAGCAAAAACATTTCACAAAGCATTGATCTCACTTTAAAATGGATCACAGTAGTAGTCCATTCAAAGCAATCTCTCCCTGCAACATACAGTATGTAAATCTTGTGAATCCTTTATTAGGATCATCAGACCAGGTAACGTGCACATACATTGTACTGAAAGAGAGAGGAAAGTTTCTGACTCCTCCAGTAATACTTATGAAAACACAATACCCAAGTGTACCTAACTGAAACACAACTTCTGCACAATACTCAAATTTATCCAATTCACACAATCCTTCCCCCTTTAAAAGGAGTGGGGATGAAGATTATTGGAATTTGCATTCAGGTGCACCACATCCCAGCCGAAGTCCTTCAGTCTATCTATGACATCATTATTAGTATCAGCAGTGCAATTTATATCACACCTTTCCTCCAACCACATCCCAGCCGAAGTCCTTCAGTCTATCTATGATATCATTATTAGTATCATCATCAGTGCAATTTATATCACACCTTTCCTCCAAAGAGTCAGCATGTGCCACGTTATTGCCCTGCCATGTTTACTGGAAACTCTAACAGATAGGGCAAAAGCTGATCTCACAGCCATAAATACTCCACTCCCAAGCAAACTACACCAGAGCACAGAGTGCTGTCCTCTGAAGATGCTGTCCCAAGAGACTGGCGAAACGTGAGGAAGAACAACCTTCAGAACACGGCCAAAGAGCCCGAAAAACCCACAGCAACCATCTAATAGATACCTTTTTTAAAACACACACACACAATTAAGAAAGCCGATTATCTGTCATGGAGAACCAAATGGATGAACATATAGGACTTAAAAGAACCTATTCAGAGAGGACAATGATGGCTATGATGACAATGATACATTTGATATATCAGTCATAGGCATTATAGTCATTCCAGAGGAGGCGGACTATAAAAGGCACTGCAGAAAAAAAAATCTAGAGGTAAGAAATACTTTCATTTGATTCAACTATATTGTTGTACCCCACTTTGAAATCTTCAGGTATAGCTAAAAATAAACAAGTCAACCTGGCAGAAAGCAAAAAAGCAAAGCATGCTGCTTATATACCGCCCCATAGCGTTTCAAGCACTCTCTGGGCAGTTTACAATTTAATTATGCAGGCTACAAATTGCCCCATTCCAGAGGAGGTGGACTATAAAAGGCACTGCAGAAAAAAAAATCTAGAGGTAAGAAATACTTTCATTTGATTCAACTATATTGTTGCAGCCCACTTTGAAATCTTCAGGTATAGCTAAAAATAAACAAGTAAACCTCGCAGAAGAGGTGAAGAAGGTGTCACCTCTCACTATTGACATTGCAGCACTTTCCATTAGAGACCAGTGATGCTTGCTGTTAGTCCATATTCATTTAATTATGTGCTGCCATGTTGATCCTGAATTATGGCAACCCTCTTGAGGGTTTTCTAAGCACAGAGTACTCAGAAGTGGTTTACCAATCCCCCTCTTCTGGAGGCACCCTGGGTCTGTGCAGTTTGACCAAGGCCACGCAGGCTAGCTCAGCCCTTCTGGAATGCACAATGGGGAAATTAACCCCCGGGCTCTGGCTCCACGGCCAGGTACTCCAACTCAGTGAACCTCCCTATTACACTATTCATCAACCACAATACTTTGCCAATGGGAGAGAGATATCACTTTTTATTCAGAGAACAATTATTGCTAATAATTTCATCATCATCGTCTTAGAACTGCAGAGCTGAGAGGGACCTTATGGCTCTTTAAGCCCAGCCCCTGCTAAGGAGGCACAGTAAGTCCTTGCTATGTATCTGTCTGTTAACAAAATGAGGTGGATCATCACTATAAGTCCTTGCTATGTATCTGTTAACAAAATGAGGTGGATCATCACTCTTGAATGTTGTTTTAATTCAGCAGCATGTAGTAATAAGCTTCCTGAGGAAGGAAGGAATAACTTAAGAGCAGGGGAAACTTTCTTTCTATTCAGGCCTGTCCTTTTATGGATGTGATGATCACCTTTTACACTGATCTGTCAAGTGAAAACTTGGACTTTTGCATTTCCCACATCAAGTGATCTCTCTCTCTCTCTCTGTGTGTGTGTGTGTGTGTATGTGTGTGTGTGTTTAAATAAATGGATACAAGAATAATTTCAAAAGTGCAGCATCCCCACAAAGATTGAAGGGCATCTGTGACATCACTTGTGCAAAGGTCCCACACCAGAATTTGCCAAGGGTCTCTCACTTTTCCTACGCCCAGCCCCCGGCGGTCCAACCTTCCCTGCCACCTTCCAATGGAGACCTTTATTAACTGAATTTTACTGAAGCTTCTCACACATCTCTTTTTAGAACCTAAAAGGTAAGGCCAAAGGAACACCTAGACAAATGGCAAGTAAAGCAACTTCCACAGGTAAGGCTGTGGAGATCAGATATGAAAAACAGAACTGGCGATGACTCAAAAAAGAAAAAAAGTGACGGGGGGTTGGAAGGTGTGAGGTTTTGATAAAGATGATTTATAGGGAAACTGTAAATCTAGAAGTCAGTTAAATTTGAATATACTGTAATATTTTCAAAGCTTAAAAAAGAATCTAGTTGGGACAGAGTTTGGAAGATCCATTTGGACCCCTTTGAGGCTGTGACCCTAAACAACCTGGATTATGTCACATTTCTGTGGAATCAGTTAGGTTTACTTGAACCAAAGAATGAAGACGCAGTCAGAGCATTTGATGCTAAATGTGACCTTATAGCCCCCTTCCGACTTTATTATTCCATGTGAAGAGAGAAAGATGAATTAAGGATGGGAACGTTGAGAATGACAGGTATTTTTAGGGATGGTTCTATGGGATGTCGGAGCTCACACACTGGCTTACACATCTACCCACACAAAAAGGCTTGTAGGGGATGAGTCACATTGCGTACTTGGGAGTGTGGTTGAAAGATTAAGGTGAGAGGCAAACTTATAGAAGAGTGTGATGTTGGAAGGTGGGGGTTAGGGAATCTTATTCAACCAAGAAGTAGAACAAACAAACAAGCTCAACTCTCATAACAGCAATGTCTTTTCTATTCCCTAGTTATGGAAATGATGGCTTCCTGCTGTTGTGAGGAGAAGCTAGACCTGCATTTGTAGGGGGAAAAGTTGTAAGTAGAAAGAAGTACCGTAAATATTGACAAAAAGACAGAGTGGACCCTAAGCATAAAGGCCAAAGGTAACATTAGCTGTACATGTAGGACTACTCAAGCTGAGAAGTTAAAGGATAGTGACGGCCTATGAGGAAAGAGGGGTGTTGAACTTGGGATTGGCTCATGTCAGGAATTTTGGTGGTAAGAAAATGGGATGCAGGGAGACTGGTCACCAGAGGTAAGTGTGTGAGAAGGGGATCTAGAACCTCTAGCTTGAAATATAAAGTTACAAGGCCAGCATCTCAGGGTGAATGGAAGATGCTGTAAGAAAGAAAAGGTTAGTGGACTTTATAACTGGAGGAAAGGAACAAAGGGCGAGAGGCTAGATTTCTACAATATTTATGGTGAGGACTCAGGCCTGATTGAGGGCACAGCCTTAAGATGCCATCTTGCACAAGCTTACTTAAGAATACAGCCCATCCCAAATGTATTTAGAATCAACATGCATATGATTGTTCTATATACATGTTCTAAGACGGGGCAACATTTCCCCCACTTTCAGTATCTTTAGTTAACTGATCAGAAATACTGGTGATTTCGAGCATCTACTAAGCATTTCTCTCGCAACCAAATGACAGATCTCTTTGGCTTCCCCCCACCTCAAGGCAGGGGGCAGTTTACACTGCTTGCAAAGTGCGAAGTCCGCACTTTTCTTTTTAAACTACCATATTAACAGGGCAAGCCTACACATGCTTACTCAGAAGAAAGCCAGTGAAGAATGTAAAGGGTTAGGGTCAGAGGTGTGTGTGTGTGCGCGCGCGCCTGTAGATGCCAGACCTTTTTCAGTATTTGGGACTAGCTGTCAGGGACCCTCTCTCAGGAATCCGTGGCTCTGAAGCCCAGAAAGGAGCCCACCTCTCTCCTAGCCCCAGTAGTACTGTGGTAGGGGCTCTTCATCCGGTAGAAGTAAATAGATGTCATTGCAGACGGGGAAGGGGAAGGGAAAGGGGCTCCCGTGCCTAGCCCATGAGCGAAGCCGAGACAAAGAGCAAGGGCAGCGGATGCCCACAGGTACCTGTACCAGGCGAGTCCCCGGCCGTAGTTGCGGTCGAAGAAGTGGGGCTCGGCGCCCGCCGCCCGCACGTCCGGATGCACCCGCAGGAACTCGAGCAGCGCCCGGGTGCCGCCCTTCTTCACGCCGATGATGACGGCCTGGGGCAGCCGCTTGACGCCGGAGCCGTTGAGGAAGCTGGAGAGGGCGCCGGAGGGATCCGCGGCCGCCCCGTTGCCCCCGCCGCC